GTGTGTGTGTGTGTGTATTCATTTTGTGTTTTTTTGGAATACAGGGGAACGGCTATTGGATTCCATACTGTACAGTGGGCCTGATATTCCTTTTTATAATATTCTGCGGTGGACCAAGTAGGTGCATTACATTAATTTCAGTAACAGTATTGCTTTATTCAGATCTTGCCAAAAATTATAGATTTATGAAAATACTAACTGTGATTGGTCAGCCCTGCACGTCCAAATATTATGATTAAGGTATAAGCTTGAATATGGCACATATTATTCATGTAACATATTATTCATGTAACATATTATTCATATAGTACTTTAAATAGTTTACCAGAGAGCACATGCAACGCTAGTGCTGATTCTTCTTTAGGCAGACGGTGGTGGCTGAGTGTGAATGCTGTGAGTGACAGTGCCATAGTGGGGCGTGAGCCATAGTGGGGCGAGAACCATAGCGGGGCGTGATCCATAGCGGGGCGTGATGTGATCCATCGCGGGGCGTGATCCATAGCGGGGGGGGCGTGATCCATAGCGGGGCGTTATTACGGGCGGCACACAGCAGCCACGTGACCGCAGTGTCCTTCCCTTCCAGCTGGAGTGATGCCTCCCTTCAGTCATGAGATATTCGTACAGACCTACCGGCCGGCCGCCTTCGTCTTCTCCGGGATACTCAGGTGGTTGGGATTCTTCATAATGGGAATGATCTTTCCCTTCCTGCTTGTGAGTCTGGTAGCATCCCGCCGTTAGCTTAGCTGATGCCCGTCTCCCAAACCGATTCTCTGCTCGGTTTTATGCTGTAAGTAGAGAATCGGTTTGGGAGCTTAGCTGATTGGCTGAGGAGGCCATTCGGCCAATCAAGCTTGTTTGGGGAGAATTCAACCAATAGCTTAAAGTTTTTAAAATCTTACCTAGCTCTGATTTAAAGGAACACAAGGTTTTAGCTTGCGCTACACTAACAGGAAGTCTATTCCATAGTACACAGGGAGACTATTCCATAACTATACGATGTGTAAAGAAGTGCTTTCTCAAATCCAGTTATAATATTCTCCCTCTAATTTCCACATATGGCCACGAGTTCTTGTATGTGAACTAATTTTGAAGTAACTACTTGGTTGAACAGCATCCAGACCTGTTAGAATCTTATATACCTGGATCATGTCCCCCCTTAGTCTCCTTCGCTCGAGGTGGAACAGATTCAGCTCAGCTAATCTGTCCTCATAAAACATTCCTCTAAGACCAGGAATCATTCTTGTAGCCCTATGTTGAACCCTTTTAGGGCAGCAATGTCCTTTTCAAGGTAAGGTGACCAAACCTGCACACAATATTCTAAGTAGGGTCTTACCAAGGAATGCATGGATTACCTTACATTTGTCTACATTAAATTTCATTGGGCAAGTATCAGTTCAGTTACTAATTAAATCAAGATCTGGCTGTAGCATCTATGCTTCTAGTTCAGTATCTGCTTCACCTTGGTGTGGTCTGAAAATGTAGCCAGTTTGCTGTATATATTGTTGTCAATAATGTTAATTTAAATTAGGAACAATAGTGATCCTAAAATTGAACCCTGTGGTACCCCACTATGGACGCAGGTCCAGTGTGACATCGTGCCTCTAATAACTACTCACTGCTTCCTGTCTGTTAACCAGTTTTTGATCCAAGCTGCTACAGTTCCTAAAATCCCTGCTGCTTTGAGCTTAAGCAGGTGCCGTTTGTGGGGGACAACATCAAAGGCCTTCTGGAAATCTAAGTAGATCACATCGTAGGCCTTTTTGTGATCAATTTCCCTCGGAGCTTCATCAAAGATCTCAAGTAGATTTGTTGAACAGGATCTGCCTCTCTTATATCCATGTTGGTTATCCCTCAGAATATTATTGGAATCCAGTTCAAATAATGATAATGGCAATCATAATGACAACAACAACAATAATGAAAGTCAAAATAATACTAACAATCCATCCAATTTCTTGCCACGTATCCTGGTCAGAGTTGTGCAGTGAACGGCAACAACAAACAATAATAATAATACAGTGACACAGTTGCTGAATTAAAAGCAGGAGGCTACTTTTTACTGCTCTTTTCAATTCTCCTTTTAAGTTTGCCTTTCGCTGTGGGAGGTTTCGAGTAAACCAGGCATACAAATAAAACCATATTAAAAAAAGCTTAAAATGCATTTCCTGGAGGATTAAAGCAGGCACTGCATACAAACCGATACCATCTGCCACCAGTAGTAGTATCTGCATGTTCTAGTTTAGAATGAAAAATATCCCATTTTCACCCACTTTGTTAATAAATGTTAACATTAAATCACTTTGTCGTATGGGTATAATGAGCTCTGGTGAGATATTAATGAAGTTTGAAGCAGAAGCTGGAGTGGAAGTCCATAAATAACAGACGTACTGACAGATATCATGCCAGTGCTCCCAGCCCCCACTAGTCACTGCTGTAATGTCCAATGGTGGGGGGGATGGGGGGCATAATGACTGGGGGCATCCCACTGGGGGCTCCATACCAAGGAAAATCCAGCTCTGTGTCTGCCTGCAATATAATGCATGTCTTTATTTACAGTAGAGCTGCATTTAAGTTCTATTGTAAGCGCTAAGATTATTACTAACTTTTTATATTTGATTTAAAAGGTTGTATGTCAGGTTTGATACCATGTCCCTCCCTAACCCCGCCTTTGACGGTGACCCTGATAAACTGATGTGTTGTTTCATGTATGTAATTAGATTGTTTGTTAATCGCAACTTCCGAAATCGCATGGCTCAGCACGTTTGTAAATCATGTCGTCCCGACTGACGCTATCCCCTGCATTACTGACGCTATCCCCTGCATTACTGACGCTATCCCCTGCATTACTGACGCTATCCCCTGCATTACTGCTCTGCACCCTAACACCGGTGTCAGTAACTCAGTCCTATAGACTCTGCTGAGTTATGAGGTGACAGGCAGACCTTTCCTTCCTTGTGGGAGGTGTGGAGGGATGGGGGGGGCAGTGGGCAGGGTGCAGCTGGCAGTGGGGCAGCGGGCAGTGGGCAGCGGGCTAGGGCTCTGGTTCCCTGTCCGGTGATCCCGGTGTGGGTTCTTTGAGCTGCTCTCTCATTCTCCTTAAGACATCACAGCTAGGAACTGTAACAAAGGGAGCTATCTGACATGGAAGCCCATTCCAAGTCGAGGAATTATAAGACTTTAAGATGAATAGAGCACCTTGTAGATTGTATTTGTCTCACATCATGTATTTGAATTCAATAACCCTTACATCTTATATGGAAACTGTAATTAAAACTCCATTCTCTGTCAGGTTAATAAGCTACTAGGATTTCTTCATTTAAACGGAGCCTTTTATTTTCAACCTAATGAATCATCATAAAGGTCTAATTAAAACAAGACATTGCTGTAAAGGATTTTTAACTCTGCCTTTTCTGGACAAAGGATAATCACACTATAAAGGCCATTCACCATGTTTTACTATTGTATTTGACTAGTTCCTCTCTGTTCTCATTTCAGGCATCTTTGAAGTCCTTCAGTTTTTTGCTGTTTGCCAGTGTCTGTCTGTTGGGGGCGCTGTTTGTCTTTTTCCTGGTGCCCGAAACGAAGGGCAAAACTCTCCTTGAAATATCAGAGGAGTTTAACAAGATCCACATATACAGGCCTTCACTGAGTAAGGACGTGGTTTTGGAGACGAGGCTATAAAACAAGCCGTCTGTTTGCTTTGTGCCAAAACTGCAGAAGCAGGTCTTGTGAAAGGGTTTGGATCTCTTAAAAATTCATACTTTAAATGGTATTCTTTGCACGTTCCCATGGCAACAAGAACAAGAAAGCCACTCATTTTTAAGTTCCTGGCCATTTATCCCTGACTTTCCGGTTCAAGTTTAACTGGAAGCAAATTTTGAAACATTTCAGCTGTTCGGCACATTGCGCCTTTCTGTGAATGCAGTCTGTTTGGTTTTATTTAGTACAGATTAAACATTTGTGCCAGCCTGATGCCCTAAGTATTTAATTGGCTGCAAATTAGATCTTTATTGTTCTTAGTAAAAATATTTGCCTTCAAATAATTGATGGATTTACTTTTTTGTGTACTTTGTCTTTGCAAAGAATAAAATCAACTTCTAACAGACAATGTTGTTCAGTTCCAAAACACACAGACCTGAGCTGTTATTTTCCACAATCAATTAATGTGTTTGTACCTCAGAATGCATGATGTTCATTTAGAGATTGTGCAGTGTGCCATGTCGGAACCTTCTGGAAGGTCTTTGGAGGGATTTCTTATCGATGTTCACCAGCCGTCAGGGTTTAACTGTATCCCAGATGCGGTTTGTGTGCAAGGAGGAAAATGATTGACGTTATCTGAGCAGGAAAGGATGTGATATTAACCATGAAAACAAATTAACAAGGCATTAATTAGGCAGCAGTTTCTCTGGTGACCCAGTCTGGGTCAGAGGAAGTCAAACTTTACACTAAGCGATTACCTGCTTGGTCTGGAAGGAGCAGATGTTTAAGAGGCATTCCTCACTTTTTATGGATGTCAAATGATTATACACACTGGGCATTTATATTACAGCTAAGGTTAAAAAATGTGAATGATTTCAAGATTATCTGAATCCTACATCTCGACATACTTCCTATTCAAGGAGCAGGCCAGGCAGTTTTCTGTAGGGAAATGAAAGTAACAGTAGGCTTCAGTGGACTTTGGGTGGGAGACGTATGACTGAGAAGATCACAAGTCCTGGGGGATGCCGATGGCATACTGAGAAGAGCGTAATGAGTATTATGAGGGAGACCCCAGACCCCAAGAGTGACGATGTATGTACATCTTGTCAGTATGAACTGACTCTTTTCCAAAATCAGATCATTACTGATCTGGTTGAGTAAATTCATCTCTGCAATCTATTAAGGTTGAATGGGATGAGGATTGGAGAATTCATGGTCAAAGATCCAGACATTCATGCATGACTTTTGAATAAGTGACTGATTAACTCCAGGTGAGATGGCCTCACCTTAAAGTAATGGATTCCTTAATGAACGGACAATGAAACAATTGAGAGCTGAAATAAAGGGGAAGCTGATTTAACCATAAGCTTTGGGGACTGGAATTTAAATTACACTTAGTCAGGAACTACAGAATTTTTCCCAAGACAGAAAAAAGAGCGATAACACAAATGATTGCTCAGGACATTATGATAGTGCTTTTAAAACATTGCTACATTGTGTATTACATAAAAAGCTTGAATTAGGCGATGGCATGAATATTTACAGAGCCTGGCATTCACACATTGTTTCTTTATAAGGTATTGAAGCCTCCTTCATGGGGATTCCCTTTATTAGAGGTGTGTGACAGATGCAAACTAATATTCCCCAGGTCAAGGTGTTGTGCACGGTCACTTACATTAAATATACTGTATACATTAGACAAATTCAATAACATTTATAAGAGAATTTTAAAATGTTAAATAATACCTATAATATCCTAAGATTTTTTAATACAAAAATAACGGACATAACAATATGATCACGCACATCGACATACATGTTTTCTCGTAGACGTATATTATAATGTGCAAGATTATATAACGTGTAAATTATGATAATAATGTGCAATATCAATGTACAGTGGTTAGTAACAGTGATGACACAGTATGCCGGTTTATGGCAGTATTTCTCAAACCAGTCCCTGTGCTGGGAGCGGGGAGAGCGCAACAGTGTGGACTGTCTGGGGGTTCCACCCTGGGCACTGGGTTCATAAACACTGGGATACTCTGATTGATGTACTGTACACTGCATGATACAGTACAATTTTTGCAGTGCACAATGTATCATGCGTTCATTTTATGTCTATGATCTAGATCGTGTAGAGTTAAAAATCCTTATAGCTTTGAGGAAGACGCTGTTACAGAGTCTGTTTGTGGTGGTCCGCATGCGCCGGCACTGTCTTCCAGGGAATTGCGGCGGGGTCAGTGGGGTCCCAGATAATGCAGTGAGCTCTCCCTCCACAAGGGAGATACATGTCAGAGACGGAGGGTGCTGGTGATCCAGTGATAGGCAGTGCCTGTTTCCCTTAAGGTCAGCGCTCCTGCAGTGTGTGTGGACACTCTCCACACTGCATTTAGAGAAGCTCCTGAGGATCCTGAGAAAGTGCATGCATTGTTCTGCCTTCTGTAACAGCCTACAAAGGCCCATCCATCTATTTTCCATAACTGTGAGCAGCCTGGTGTTATCCCCAGCAAGCCCAGGTCCGGGGAACCCCTGGACCGAAGGGATTCAAACCAGGATCCCAGGAGGAGTGAGGCTACTATGCCAACCAGTACTCCATTTACCTGAAAATATCCATCCATCTTCAAACCAATTATTCAGATCAGGGTTTCACTCAAAATATACTCATTTATTGTAAATTTGATTTGAAATTAATTTCAAAACAATGCTGTAATACCTCCAATGTTACCATGGCTGGAATATGAATTGACTTTTGACGACTGACGTTTTTTTTTTTGGCCTATACTGACATAATCACGTATTCACACTGCACGTTAGTCATGATATGCACCTGCTTACACATTCAGCCAGGAGCAGCCAGAGATGTCCAAATAACCAGCTCCAGGCAACCAAGGCAATCGACAAGGGACGTCTGTCGCTACTGAGGCGGTCTGTTCAGCGGTGTGTATAAATGATGAAAGTACGTCTGGATCCCAAAGAGGCACCGCGCTCACTGCCTGCGTTACGAGTGACGGACAGAATTGATCGCGAGATTTTAGGTCACACGCTGATGCCCATGAGAAGGACGGTGTCTCATCGCAGCCCACAACTTGGCACTGGTTAGGCTGGAAAACATGTTATTGCAGTGAATTAATTAATCCGGAGTGTGAGACGACCTACCAGATTTTACAGAATTTTGTACTTCGGCAATACATACGTGTGTATAAATATGCATGTGTGTGTGTACTGCGCTAAACCGGAATGGTATTTGTTTAATTTTAACAAATACACAACATGCATGTACCTGTTTGCCCCTGTGCTTGGGACACAAAAATCTACAGAATACTCCACAAACGAGAAACATAATTCATTACAGTTCGGTAATGATTTCCGTGTACTTTGTACATTTCACCAACATTTACTCTGATGTAAATCCATGACCAGCCTCAGAAGCTGAATAAAATGGCTTACTAGAAACCCCCGCTCACAAGCCCGAAGCTCCCTCTGTCTGAAACGACGAAATGATGCCGTTTGATCCAGCGAGGCATCTTCACTGCAACATGGTTTTTTTTTCTTCCCTGGACGTGATCTAATGCCACAGACTATGGGAAGGACTCCCATTCTAAACAATGGCACTGAGAAACCACTCCAGTAAGTTTTATGCATGTGTGTTTGGCGAGCTTCTTTGGCAGTGAAGTGTTTTAATTATGACTGCGCTTCAATTTCTCCCCGGGATCAACATCACCTTCACCCTGCTAGAAAACTTGCATTGACACCTCTTGGTCAGCAGATGGCATTTACAATCTGCTCTTGAATATGTGGTGTACTATCTGAAACCATTTTAACTGTTTCCCCTTTAACAGAATAGCGTCAGATAAATCTGATCTAATTGACGTTACAGTCGACCAAGGTGTTTATTTTCTCGTATGGTCATCCCGAGTTAAAGACCTTAAGCTGTCTCTGTAACCAAGTGAAGTGTGCAGTGTTCTCTAAAATACACACTATGTTGTAGATAACCAGCAAAAACGTGGGATGACTCAGAGACCACTTGTGACAGAAGAGCTGGGCACCAAGCCAGATATACATAATGAGCCACAGCAGAACCTAAGCCCACATGTCAGAACACTGCAGCAGTGTTGCCAGGCAGATTTCAGCACTGAACCCAATGGAAAATATCTGCAGAAACATAATTCTCAGATTCATAAGCGGCCACCTGTGGTTAGATTAAAACAGGCTTACCCATAACCAGCACTAATGTGATCGGGTTCAGCTAGCGCTGTCTGACACACGCATCATCGGGGGAAGAATGACATCACGTCCCGAGTGAGAGACATCAGCTGTCCACTGGACACATTCAAGCTCAGGTCCAGAGACTGCTCTCGTCACCTGGCTTGAATGGCAGATGTAACATGTCTTTCTTACAGTTAGACAGGGACAAAGCAAATAGTTTGAATCACCAGCCAGATCCCAGTTACATCATCACAATCCTTCATATGGAAATATAATTCCCATTAAGGACAGGATAGCATTAAACCATTGATTGTCCAATTGAAGTCCAGTTACACCTTGGAATCGTTGCTGGCACTTTGGTTCGTTAGTAGGTGGATTATGTCTCTGACTATCCCCAGTTTTACAGGTTTGTGGGTAAGACAGCGGTATCCAGTCCTGCCCCACAGTTTATTTTTACTCACAGAGACTGTTGTAGAATCACTGGAGTAAGACACCTACCATGGTGATCATTTGTCAGGCTGGTTCAGAGGTTTGTTCCATCTCAATCAATCGTCCAAACGATTTGCATTATTTTGGATTATGCAGCTGCACCTGCGACAGTCACATCTAATCTGCAAGCTGCATGTGGGCTGCAGGAAACAGTAATGAAATAAATGACTCCACAGACTTATGTGTCATGCTAATTCAACTACAGGCCAGAAATAAGGGTTGAAACCTCACCCCCCCTCCCCCCCAAAAAAAAAAAAAGATTTGTTTAGGGAGTGTTGTTTACATAATTATGATATATTAGACCCCAGTAACAATCTTCCTACTTCTTCCTGAAATAACCCCCCCCACCCATCACCACACTGAGTGCTATTAAAAGCTTTCTTTGTGTGTGCATCTCGGAGAGACGTTGGTATTTATTTTATTAGCAGGGGGCCACACTGTGGTTCATAATGTTTGTTCCCAATTAATGTGATAAAAAGTTGGCAAAATTGCTTGGGACAGGAAAACTGCAGAAACTCTGTAAATCATTTAAGCTCCACTGGGCAAACCAAGGATACATTACTGAATAAAAGATGAGCTCAGTGAGGCCCAGGAACATGGACGTACATAAACAAATCACACATGCGATGGGTTCTGCTATTTGGGCTTTTTGAATCGCTGGGAAAAGTCACCTCCAGAACAAAAGAGTAAAAACAAGTGCCATTTACCTCT